TAAAACGAAAAAAATTCCTGGTGAGCATTTGGCAGTAAATCTGCATGCATGAGCTCATTTAGCGAGAGAGAGCGAGCAACACTGCAGTCCTTGCAGTGAAATGTTGGAATCAAACGTGTTGCATTGCTGCTCGGGTTAGGAAAACTCCTCAGGCACGCGTCGGATTATGTCTCAGGGCATGCGACACAAACGGCACGTGCCAATTTTTATGTTCATTTCTTCTTCACAAATTTCACTGCAAAGTTAGTCTCCCGTGCGTCACAGGGAGGCTGAAAATAACAGCGAGCGATAACCTGGCACAGCACATTTCCACAGATTCTTCCCCGAGGTGATGCAAGACTTTAGACAAATGTCTTGTTTGTTCGCCACTGAACGGCCATCTTTCAAGGGGGTGGCATGCCAGCACGAGCGCACACAGACACACCGGAGCAGCTCATTTTTCTCCCTCATGAAGTAGGTAGCAAGAATATTACAAACCAAAATCAGAATGCATTGCCATCGGCCAGCGTTTGGACGAGTAAGAAGAGTAATCAAATTACTTTCAGATAGATAGATAGATAGATAGATAGATAGATAGATAGATAGATAGATAGATAGATAGATAGATAGATAGATAGATGAAGATTATAAAAGTAGATTTTGCAGGTTTGTGTGTGCATTAGTGTGAGAGTGACAGCAGAGAGACGAATCCCCCCATTAATAACAGCCACTAATCCCCTGATGTGATTACCTCCTCATCTCAGCCCCCCTTTCTCTCCACTGTCTCCCTCCATCCCGCCACTCTTTCTCCCATTCAGCAGCGCCAGCTACTTGTCTTCCATGGCAGAGCTCAGCTGGCCCAATCCCCTGAACACATCCAAGACTTCCACTGTGTTCAGCTGCCAGGACGATGGAGCGCCTCCAATCTGACGCCTCTCCTTACCAGAACTTAGCCTCTGGGCAGGTATCTTTAAAAAAAAAAAAGAGGCAAAAGTCAGTGGTGTTAGTGCAGAGAAAGGCAGCAAATTTAAGCAGATTAAGAGCCATGCCTCTGTTCAAAGCCCTGACACTTAATGCAGTCTGAATGAGAGGTGACGTGTGATATGAATCGTGCAAGATATGGTTTTGGATGTTCGAACGTTTATGGAAATATCTGCAAGCATTAAGGATTATGGGTGTGCAAAGGGAAGCAACAAGCCTGTCAGTATAGCTATTTCTGTCCTCAATAACTGGCTGCCAAATGCAATTTTTTTTTTCAGCCTTTGATAAACTCGCTACATCAACCTAAAGTCTAGTGTGTTTCTATGGAAACTTAGACCTCCAAGAAGGTTCAGATTTGCCATTTAACTCAAAATCTGCTCAACAGTAACATACTATGATAAAACTGTACTATGTACTCGCTTTACATGTGCAGCCAGCTAGAAATAACACATGCAATTATACAGTTTATATAGATCTGTGTTAACTATGCACGGATATGCGTTTACGTGGATATGAATAAAAAGGTTTAAAAGCATCCAAGGAGGTATTTATGTGATATGAAGGTTATTTATCTATTTATACTTTTAGTGGGTTGTGTTTTTTTATTTTATCTTCTGCTGCTTTTACCTCATTCTATTAGATATTTTGATCAATTATTTTGATTGCAGTCAATCTAATGCCTTACACTTTAAAAACTCCTGGGTTAAAAATAATACAATCTGAATTACTTTACATCCTAGAGTGAAATATGAACTGGGCTTGATTTAGCAGAACATGGTTGAGTCACAGGTTTGACTCAGCAAAACGGGCTGGACTAAGATTATCTGTCAACCATAACATGATCATCACCTTAGATTTCTTTTCCTGTCTAAGCTTTAAAAAAAAAAAAAAAACTTACACAACAAACAAGACACTTTTCAAAACTAAGAATAGATTCTTAATTTAAAATTAACACACACACATATGCAAATCTGCAAAACTATTTAAATCTGAGCTTGACCTATTAGCTGAAAAGTGCGTCAGGTAAAGTTCTGAAAATGCATCATCAGTCCTTAGTGGGTTACATAAGAAAGCTTTGTTGTGGTTTGAGGCAATTTCATGACAACTGTGCAGCCCATTATCTGTCAAATATAAGAATATGTACAAAGCCTGAGTTAGCATCAGTCTCATGGTTCAACATGTTTGTCATAAATGGACCGTCTTCCTTTAAATGTACGTCTTACATGTAGCTTAAGCCCCTGATCTTGATTCCTAAAACCTGAGTTTATGATGTCCTCATAAATACCTACCAAATATTTCCACAAATCCCCACAGCATATTATGAAATGTCGATAGTTCCTTTCAACACCTTCTTGATTGCAGGATGCCATAAGGCAGAGGCATCTGTCTTCCTGACTGCATCAGATGTAATAAAACTCTGGTTTATATTCATTTATATGAGTTTTGGCAAAACCTGCACAGTAACTACTAAGAAAATGTCACAACCATATGCTGAAAAGGTAGAATATTTAATGTTAAAGAGAGCTTGGCGGTGAGATCTTGGATTTAATTAAGCTACAGAGGAACACTATTATAACATTTAAGTTTTTCTTTTTTTGCTTGGCCTGGTGATGACTCAATGGTAACTGATTATAGATGTGTTGCTTCCCGTCTACCTTAAGGTTGGTTCCTCTGGTGTAATTGACTATTATTTTCTTGTCAGCTAGTCATTTTTTTTTTTTTTTTTTTTTTTCCTTTTACCTTTTGGTCTCCCTTCCGGAATTTCAATGCTGCCATCTTTTCATTTCTGGCCAAAATGAATGTTCCAGCTCCAACAAGATGAAAAGTTTCCTTTGAGCTGCTGCAGTTTGCAGGGGGTTCAGATAGAGACTTGAATCAATTAGTGGTCCTTTCATCAACAAATAGGCCAAACCTCAGTTCCTCCTGCACCCCCTCCCCACCCCTCTTTTCTTGTTCCACCTCAACTTCTGGTGCTTTTCATTTGAGTCCTGTTCAATACTATCATCTGCTCTCTTTCTCTTGACTTCATACGCCGCGTTGGAAAGGCCAACATCTGGCTGCTTCTTAAGTCCGGGCCCGTGCATCCGTTTCTGGGCTAACAGGGCCTGCAGATCAACCCCTGCTGTGGAGCTCAGCCTTTGGTGTATGTGGGGCTGATCTGAGTCTCCATTTCCTGACTCTTGGTGCCTTGATGTGGCCAGAACCACATTGCATGATTAATTACAGCTCTCCGTCCCCACTGCCGGTGCCGCCGTTATTGTAACCATGCTTCCTTTCCTCGGCCCTCAGTCTCTCACCTGCAGCACGAAGCCTTCAGCAGAAACCGCTGACGCAGCTCTGAAGAACTTACATAAGTTGTGCTGTGCTGTTACCCTAATGGATGTTTAGTCATAGATGCTAGAAGGAGGTGGATGGTTGAGTTGTGAATGAGATGACAGAGCTGTTGGGGCAATGACAGAGACTGCTAAGTGAGTGCAGGTCAGCAAAATCAGCTGTTTCCGTTTCTTCTGTGTCAGCTCTCCTCGCTTTGTGTATTGACTCCTGATTTGTCTACGTTTATGGCAAGAGACCAGTGGCTGTACGGGTGGAGGTGGAAGGGGCAGTTAATTGGTTTTTGGCTGTGTGGCCAATCAAAGGGACCTCATCAAAGACACGCAGCGAATGCATCCCACAACCTTCCTTGCCTCTTTGCTTCCGTTTATATAAGTGCCACACAGTGTAATCAGCGTGACGGAAGCAGGAAGCGAGAGACGAATGAAGGAGAGGCGGACAGAGACGTCCCTGACGTCCAGGGAAGCACCAGGACAGGAACAGGGACTGGTATTTGAGTAAGCAAAGCCAGACTGAGCAGGCAAAAACGATGAAAACGGAAGTGGAGAGCAGAAATGACAGGACTATTGGGAGGGATGTGGTGGAGCTGTGTTTACAGACGACGGTCACACAATTTACTGTAACTTTGGATTTTGCCAGCCCTCAGTTTGCTGATGGGCTACCACAGCTAACCAACAATCAAGCACTATTTACATCAATGTAGACCATTAGCCTGTTTTTGTCAGGAAGTGTGGCACCTCAGATGGACATAAACAACAAAGTATATATATTTAGAGGACCCAAATGCTCAAAAAAAGGAAGTAAAGAAGTCATAAAGACCTCAATCATATATATATTTATAAATGCATTTTATCTCTGTAGTCCCTACTGAGGCAAGTGACTTAAAATCATTGGTGCCCTGCTGTGATTCTCTGTTGGTGGGAGACGCTCTCAAAGGCAGCTGCCTCAAAGCCCCACAGAGGTATCAGATCTCACCCTTTTCCTCATCTCCTTAATTTGGACAATTAAGAGATTTACAGGACAGATGGACTGAAATCCAGCTGGCTGCAGTGTGTGCCCCCAAGGACTGCTCCGATGATGAGAAGAGATGTGAATATTGGACAAAATTGCATCAATTAAATGGTGGGACTCTGGTGCCCTCTGGTGGACACACAAGGACGATGGGATGTATTTATATATTTATATATATACATATTTATTTATTTATTTATTTATTTATTTATTAGTTTATTGTAATTGGGAGAAGTGGAGGTGAGCGTTCACAGGACACAAAGTTTGAAGATACACATTTTTAATTGATAATACGTCATTTGATCACATTTCTTTGGCCTAATAGTTTAAATACCTCAACAGACCGTCTGGCAGAATGGTGTGTATGATTTTTACTGACGTGTAAAGTTTATGAATGATTGCAAACAGCTTGCATAATAATTGCTCGCACATGGTATGCTGATACCAGCTGGCTGGGTTCATAGTAGAATCATCAAATTCATTGAAACTAAGGACAATTTAATCAGTTATCAGATGTAAAATTGGAAAAATCCCTTAAAAATGATCAGTTAATTAAAAATCCCTAACAGGAAATATTTGATCTCTTTCATTTGACATATATGTTTGCATAAATGTTTGTCAGCTTTTAACATAAACTTACAGTGTCTTAGAAAAGGATTAATATTCGTTGTACTTTTATTAATATGTGAAGAACCACAAACTTTGTTGTATTTTATTTGCATTTTCATGTAATACAGTAGACCAACACACTGTTTTTACAGGTGCTTCATGGTGTTTAGAAAGAAAATGAGTTATTTATTAAATGTGCAGTCAAGAAAATTAAACAAAATTAAAACTGAATAAATTGGTAATAATCTTTGACAGTGAGGTCATTGCAGTAACAGTAAAAATCTGCCAAAATTTGTAGCTAGACTTTTGCATTTAATAAGATCACAAGTATGTCCCACAAGATTTTAAGCTGAATTTCACTACTACTGTTTTATCCGTCATGCCAAGCAGAGGTTGAATTCTGATGTTTGACAAAAGAACCACAGATATCCTAAAAATATCAACATTAAGTCCCACGGCGTTTTTGGAGCGTACAGCGAAACACAGCCAGGAGAGGAGGATGAGAAATGAACGCCTCCTTCTTCTATGGTCACGGTGAGAACGTTGCTGGCATTACTGGTTCCCAGACTGTTTTTAGCGAACATTCGAATGTTGTACGTTGAAGGTTTAAACTCTACCAATGTGGCCTCTGTCTCATTGGCGTCAAAATCGATGACAGTTTCTGTATAATCCCATGAAGCTGTTCAAAAATGGACACATTTCTGAATTATTTTATCAAACATAGCAAAATAATCAATAATAGAAATTTAAAAAACATCTTCATTCTAATAAAGTCTTTTCTCACCATTTTGTGCTTTATACTCCAGGTAGAAACCAGAAATGGGGCTGTTGCCTTCAAAACCAGGGGTCCAGAAAATTGAAATTGTGTAATTTGTCACTTCTTGCAAACCAATTACAGGTGGATCTGGAGGCACTAGGAGGAGCACGGGACACTCTTAGTAACTAAGAGTAATGCATGTTTTGAAAATTTCCATATTAGAGTAATTGAAGCTTAATTAACTTTGCAATACCAAAAACAGCATGGAGGAAAATGTTGATTTGATCTTTCATACCCACAGAGAGGCTTGTGTGTTTTGTCCTGGTTGTAGCAGTAGTGGAAGTGGTTGTAGTTGCTTGAGTTAGAAATAGAACAAAATTGTAAAAAACTGAGGAATAAATTACACAGTAAGCTTGTTGAATCCCCTCATGTCTCCCAGCATACCTTCGCCCAGAGTGGAGCAGAGAGGCGCGGTCGCAGCAGGTCCTTCTCCTGCGTTTGTCCTGGCCTGAATCAGCACATCGTACCTGGTCGAAGGCTGCAGGTCGGTGAGCAGGATGCTCTCCTGATCACCTGTAGCCATTTTTGTTAGGTGCCACCATTTCTGGACCAGAGCATCGTAGTCTCTGTAGCTGACGGTGTAGCTGCGCAGAACGCCGTTTCTGAGTTCAACCTGTGGGGGCTGCTCAGGAGAAAACATTCACCCTTACAAATGCAGGGGTTCAAAAAAAAAAAAAGCTTTTTATAACATTACAATGTTTACATTTCACATGCATGACTGTACCTTCCAGGTGACTCTGATACTCTGAGTGCTGACAGCCTGAAGTCGCATATCAAGTGGTGGGCCCTCGGGCGCTGGACAAACAAAAGTGAAACTTAATGGAGATCTTTTCTTAAATTTGGCAGTTGCTTCTAGAAAACACACCATTTTTATAGAGCCTTGCAAAGCCACAAACACTGACTCGTTTTATTTGAATTGTATACACTTGACCTACAAAAAAAAAAAACTTTTTTTTTTCACAAATTAAAATCAGAGAGGCATTCAGACAGGCAA